CTGGGCTGTCGCTCGCCCTGGGCTGTCGCTCGCCCTCTGGGCTGTCGCTCGCTCTGGGCTGTCGATCTGGGCTTTCACAGTAATGCAAACGCTGTGCGAGACACAAACCAGAAACACGGTAGAGCATGAACATTGAACAACTGACCCAAAACACAACAAACGCCGCAGGTCGAGTGTATCCGTTTGCAAACTTTCCTCTGTAGTTCTCTCTCTTCGTTCCTCTTCGAAGCAGGGCGATTTTGGCGCTGCGACCAGACGGCCACCTTTTTTACCGATTTCTATACCCGACTTCTTGCCCGTCTTTCGTTGCAAAGACGCCAGGGAGGTGCGCGTGTGTTGTTATGAAAAAGCGCCGCTTCGTGATTTTGTCATGGCGCTAGAGGCCGCTCCCATGTGCGGATTGATGCATTTTAACTGCTTCGAAGGGGTAGATTGATGGAGCGGAGCAGGTTTTTTTTAGTTTCATAAGGCTTGAATCAAAGCTGGAAACGCTCGAGAAAGAGCGAGAAGAGGCTATCACCATGAAAAACATCTTCTCGCACACTTCGCCAGGCTTCCGCACGCACTGTCAAATGAGACGACGTTTGGTGAGTAGAGTGCACCTTGCTAGTTTTTGTTGTGTGACAGGGCTTAACTACATACCCAAGCAAGCACACATAAACTGGCATCTTTACAAACAAACAACCCGGCGTCGTCCTTGGCAGTACCTGTCTGCATGCTTCAAGAAGACAGCGAATGTGCGAGAGGATCTATTTTTCATCATCATGAGGCAAAAACGCAAGCTGGACGAGCTCAAAAAGAATGACCCCCGCAACCGCTACGTGAAGAAAGATTATCCAAAGAAAAAGCTGACCCCGTTCCCCATGGATTGCTTTGCTGGCTGAGCTTCTTGCATTTCCTTTTTTGCTACCATTGAGATAGCCATGTGAGACGAGAGCATCAGTTTGAATACGTACTTATCAAATGCAAAAATGTCTGGGTCTGGATGAATTCACGTTTGTCATGCTTGTCTGGCATGACTCTCAAATCTGTCATGCGCGTTACCCAGTAGAAGCTCCGTTTTTCTGTGATGCAGAAGCGCAGTTTGTCGTGCAGAATAGGCAACACCTAGGAGCTCAGAAACTTGTCATGTTGAGCCAGCATTTGTAGCCTCATCATGAAACGCCTCCTAGCAGCACAAGTTTCCAGACCCAGACATTTTTACTTGTGATAATACTCGAGTCAAAACATAAGGACTGGGGTCGCTTTTTCTTTCGATAAGCAGCAGTCAGTACTACTTTTTTACTCCTGCTGTAGTAAGTACTTTGCTTTTTAATAAGATCGGCAGTCCATGATCTCGTAATCAAATGCATGAGTGATGTACTAGATTTGGACCTCGAAGCGCATGAAAACCAGCGGCCGGGTCAACGAGAGCAGCTGAAATCGTCCATTACTATCTTGCAAAAATAAGTGGCCCGCATGTCATGTTTTTTGTCGTAGCTACATGAAGTGAAAATATGACTATAATATGGCTTCTGTTACAACTAAAAAACAATAAACTATACAGCCCGGTGCTGAGCAGCTGAAATATGAAATGCAAAAGCATCGTACTAGTATAAATCACATGACAAATTTCCTCAGCATGAGTTGTATTGCGGATTTAACTTGTTGTATTGCGGATTTAACTCGAAACAAAAATTTGTAATGCATGAATGCGATTAATACGAGTACGATACGGTTGCACAGCATATGCGAAAACGGGGAACGAAAGAGCGAGCACATGATGCGAAGGTTGCGGCGCAACAAAATAAAGTGGACGAGGCCACCAAGGCGATAGAGGATTTGCATATCCTGCAGAAAAGCACGCCCTTGCCTTACCCCAAACCAATTCTAGAGAACTTGGCGATGCAGATTCGAAGGCTACAGGAAGCAGCGTCACCATGATGTGTGGCATGGAAAAGGTGCGTCGCAATTTGTCATGCAGAAGTATTCGAAGATACAGGGAACAGGGTTTTCTCCTGCATGTCGAGCATCACAAAGTTCTTTTGGTACCACTGTCACTCGTCCCTAAGAAGCCCTTGAATTTGCGTTCTGTACCAGATGCAATGGCCCCGCTCTGCGACAGCTAGTTAAAACTATTTGGTGAAAATGCATGACAAATTCATTTTATTTTTTCTGGTTTGGATTGACTTTTCTGCGGGATACTGGGTAAAAAGCACCAGGAGCACATGAAAATGCTGAAAGGGTCGGTGGCGAACGCGCAAAGCGTCCAGAACTCAATCGAGGAAGCCATGGCGGAGTACAGACTGCACGACGACAATAAGGACAAATCGATCAAGGAGATCGATGAGCAGGAGACCGAAATCCGCGAGAAGGTCATCACTCCGCGGGCACGGGAGATGGCAAAACGCAACCTCGAGCTACAAGCCCTGCAAGAGCGCCAACGGGAACTCCTCGCCGCGAACCAGAAAGATAGTATGGGGCGGAAAACTCGTGTAAACACCACAGAAAACTTGTCATGCAACGTATGGAAGCAATTCTGAAGCTTTCTTGCATTTGATTCTGATGCCGGCTGCTGTTGGTGGGCAATAGAGTTTTTCGTATCAAAGAGAAAAAGCTGTAGGGTCTCTGATGCTGGACATGTGAGACGGTCATACTATGTCATGCTAGAGAGCCGTGAGGCCCACTTGTTCTTCTGCGTTCTTACATGGCTACTGGATGTGCATGACAAGGCCTTTCTCCCATGCAGAGCAACTTTGTCATGCCGATGCCGACAGTCCAAAAATCAATCGTACATCCTAACAGTTTTTTTCTCTGATATTTCCGGCCGATAGTTTAATATGTTGCTGCAAAACGCACTCACTTCTTCTTTGAACAGCACCACTGCTGCAGGTACTTTTCATTTTGTCATTCGCTGTATGAAATACATTACGGCACTCTACTGGCATATTAGAACGACGACAAGAAGCGACCAGGACATTTTTGTTTCTAATGCGTGCCCAAACTGCAGAAAGTCATGCTCTCGACAAGACTCTTCTTCGGGTGCACTTTGCAACACCATACCATCGTAGTTATCAAAGACGCCGCTGACAGCCTCCACGCTCCTATCCAATGGAAAATCGGGCGCACTCCATACATGATGTCAACTTGTTTTTTTTTCGTCTCCATAACACTAACAAGTTGACGAGGGGATGGGGAGTGTTTTCCGGTGGATAACTTTTTCGAACAAGAGAAAGTGTGCATTGCAAAGATGTCTGGGTCCAGAAAAGTTGCAACCTGTGATGCAAACTCTCGACCACACAGAAAAATAAAATTTGTGTTGCAGAAGCGCCAGGAGAGACCCATTTCTTGCAGCTACCCAAGGAGGGAGTTTCTCATGCGGGAAAGCCTTTCAAAGAGCTAAGCAAAACTTGTATATGCTCCTTGCGCGCAACATCCCAGCGTATCTGCGTGATGCAGCAAAAGATGCATGACGAACTTTTGCAATCCTCCACACCCAGACATATTTGCAATTCACAGGAAATCGATCGTCGAAGAGGATCTCGTGGCTAAGAAGCAGAAGTATCAGATGCAAATATGTCTGGGTTTAGAAATTTGTGATGCTAAAGTGTGGTGGGTGATGGAGACACTGTCACTGGCAAATGCAGCCAAGCATGACACCTTGCCAGAACGCTTTCTCATGCGCCGCTCGCATGATAAGCTGTCTTTCTCTTTTTGTATGATAAAAGAGGCTGCAAGTTTTTGTTGGTGATGGTGCGATACAGATTTTATAGGAATGTAAGACCAGCATCACAAGCTTCACGACCAACTTTCCAAACCCAGACATATTTGCAATGCATAAGAAGCAAGGCGAGGCCATTTCGCAGATGGCCACACTGCGACAAGCGCACAACATACCAAAATGAAACGTCCAGCCTCCCTACACCAAAAACAAGCTTCGATCTGCATAGCATTCAAGTTGTTGTTTGGATAAAAACTACACGGAGTACAACCAACTTGCATCTGAGGCGATCTGAAAAAGCTGAAGCGGTAAAGAAGATGGTGTCATGCCGGAGAGATTTATTTCTGCGCTTGTGCGCTAATATAGTTACACAGCAGGCATGATGAAGACTGGCTGTCCTCCAGTTGGAACAATAGGAATAACTTCCGTCGAGTATGGGGAGGGGGAGCACTTCCGCTTGATAGTCCGAAATCGAGATTCACGCGACGAACGCCGAAGAGGAGGCGGAGAAACTCGTGGCGGTGGCGCGCGGGATCGCGAAAGAGGAATTGAACCACGAGGAGCAAGAACAAGCTGCAGCTGCTTCTCCTTCTACAACCTCCTTTTACAACAACCAAGTGCAGCCTGCTGCTGCTGCTTCTACCTCCTCCAACCCGGTGTCCCATGGCGTGCTGTTCGGCAGTAGTACCAGCGCTTCCTCGTCGTACAACAACAACCGCTACAACGTGTTCGGCGCAACCTCAAGCTCCTCCGGCGGTAGTCCCGCACTGCTCAACAACGGCCTGTTGATCGGGAGCAACGATGCAATGGATGTCGACCAAACAACCGGAAATAACAACACGAAAAACACCTCTTCGCACAATAACTCGTCCAGTACCTCCCAGAACCGCAACCAGAACCATTCGACGTATGATCCGCGGGGAGGGTTGGATTTGTCCCCATAAATTTTATTGACGCAGATTGAAAATTCAATCCCTGTAATTTTGAAAGAGAAAACTACAAGCGCAAAAAACCCAACATCATGTACATCCATGGCTGGATTGTAATAGTTAATGTCGACTTCACAAAACCAATTTACCAAGTTGAGAATACAGAAAGACTGCAGATGCTAAATACAACTTTACAACCGGATTCATGTAAATTGTCAACAAAAATTGAGCATATGATATCCTGCGCGAAGCCACAGCAGGTATTCAGAACAGTAGATTTTAACATCCGATAATTACCCGTTTCAGCGAATGGTTTTAACTGTACAGCGATGAGTTTAAGATTGCACAGCAGACAACTTATACCAAAATTTACGATAATTGCATTTTGCTTCCCCCTCGAGGGCCGCAGAGAACCGTGATTGCGCATCCTGTCTAGATGCTCAGTGTGAGAATGTGTATCAAACAGAGTATCGTACTCGTATAAATGCATTACAAATTTTCTCAGCATGAGAAATAAAATTTGTAATGCTGATTTGCCTTGACAAAGAAATTTGTAATGCAAGACCTGCATTTATACGAGTACGATACTTTTGCACAGCATATGCGCCGCCTGGAGAATATTCCGGCAATCGATGCGACGGTCTTGTTATCGAATGCAAATAGGTCTGGGTCTGGAAACTTGTAATGCTGCCTTGAGAGTAGTGAATGCTCTGTAATGCACAGCCAAGCATGAGAAATATATGCGCTTTTTTGTGTTGCGTTTTTCGCATGACAAACTGCGTTTTTGCATGACAGGCAAAGGCGTCTCTTTTTGGACACGCATCACAAACTTTGTGGTCATTCCAGACCTAGACATACTAGACTATTACGCCGGCGTCCAGGACGCCGGCGATAGGTCGTCTAGTAAATCTAAATCTAAACAGGAGAAAACTTGGCGACCGAGCGTGGGGGTGGAGGCTAGTCGAAGGAGTCCAGCTATTGGGATTCTGCTTGCGGAAACGCGTTCACTATTCGAACCCATTCGGGGGGTTTTAGCATGACAGAACGGGCCCGCGCTTGCTAGTGGCGCCCTTCTCTAGTAGCTGCGGCCCGCATTAATGGAGGACGCGCTCGCTTTCGCTCTAGGTAGGGCTTCTAGGTAGCAAGCTCTTGCACCGCCCGGGGCGAGTGCGCTCTTGCACCTGCTCTGCAAGTTGCAGCCTTTAGTGCAAGTTGCCGCCTGCGTCGCGACTTGCACCTGCCCGCATGCAAAAAAGCGCCCGGCTGTTAGCAGTGCTACAATCAAAGTAACGTCGAAGCCGCACTTGTAACATACCCACGGGCCGCCCGCGGGGATGACGCTCGCTCTTGAAGGGTTTTTGGTCCCCACGATGCCGCTCTTTTTCTTACAGGCGTTCGCTTAGAAGCTTCCTCTAGGAGCTCTCTTAGGGGAAGCTTCTCGAGGAAGCTTCTAGAAAGTGATCTCCCTACTAGTCATTTTTTAAGAGTGCCCCTATAATCTATAAGGGCGAAAATTGCGAGCAAAAAAACTCTATTGTTATTTTATTTGCACTCGATACTTGTTGTCGTCTGCAGCTTTCTTGCAAACCGATCCTGAAACTGGGTTCTATCAACTGTAAAAATCCCTGGAGGTCTGGAACAAAGCAACTTCTCATGCTAAATCTACTGTGTTGCATGATGCAAAAATCTGTGTTGCATGATTACCAAAAGTCGTCCAGTTTTGACCAAGTCGGGAGGGAGTTTCTCATGCAGGATAGGCATGAGAGAGATCGCACAGAATCTGTCATGCTAGGTCCTGCATTGTCAGAGACCTCATGGGTCATGGAAAAGCTCCATGACAAATCGCGCACTCTTCCCGACCCAGACATTTTTGCATTTGATAGGTTCCCGATCATGACGGTTGGGTTGATGCTGAGTTCCGTGACGGATGAGGGTATCCTGTGCAAAAGTATCGGACTCGTGTTGCAATCATGCATGACAAATCCTTTTCTTAAGGTAAATCCGCATTACAAATTTTATTTGTGATGCTGAGAAAATTTGTATATGCACTTATACGAGTACGATGCTTTTGCAGTGCATAAGGGGACAAGCGAATCGACTCCAGCTGTTTTGTGGAATTACGCTATACGGATTTATGGATTTACATTTACGATCTAGAATTTTACCAGGTAGGATTTATAGGTTACGTTTCGAGCTTCTCTAGGATTTACAGCTTCGATTTTGATTATGAGAAAAAGCGTTGGGGGCGGTTTGTGTATTTGTTTCTCAGTGGCAATTTGTTTGAAACGCTATTTCTCATAGATCAAAATGCAAAAATGAACAGGATGATAAGGGAAAAAAAACGAAAGCGATCGAGCAAGAAAACGGAACGAAAATAAAGGAAAAGCAAGCAAATTCTTGCTACGATCGAAAGGAAAAGGAAAGGAAGCGGAAAGAAAAGGAAAAGCAAAGGAATTAGGTCTGATCTCTCTTGAATCCGCATGAAAAACTGGACTTCTTACTACTTTCAAGGAGCTGAGCCACGGCTACGGGCCACTTAGGAATACGAGTTTAGCATTAGAAACTGGGAAGAACTAGATTTGGAATAAGGAATTTGCAATGCGGATTTGAAGAATTGAAGATGTAGTTTTAGATGGTGTTCGATTTGAAGTCGGTATGCGTGCGTTTGAAAAAAAATAACCTCTCCATTTCGAAACTAGATCCTTCAGAAGCTCAGTGTGAGAATGTGTATCAAACAGACATTATGATCGCATGAACTTCTAGTTGATCGCGCAAACACGGTTGCTTCATGCCGCGCTTCTGGTGGAAAGCGTTTTTCCAAATAATTTGACGACAAGCGATAAAGATAATTTTTACACTTTTACACTTACAGATGATATATGAAGATGGTCAGATTACAGAAAGCAAATAATGTGTATCCGAATGCGAATTTCGAATGAGTAGGAATCATTTTTAGTTTACAAGTCAAATTACCGACAGAAAAATCAAACAAGAGGAATAGACAGTTAGCCGTTTTCGAGATGACAAACTTAACGACAAATCACACTTCGTTCACAAACACAGATTTTTTACCGGCACATTCGAAAATGATAGTTTGCGAAATAATACCGAACAGCTAGGGTTTAGTACATCAATAGAAGGCAAGTCTTTTGACGAATTAATGAGACCAGATAGGAACAAGCAAGAGAAACAAACAAGAGTCGCATGTTTTGCGCAACAGTTGGTGAAAGTAGTTTGAGTATGTTTTTTATTTATTACTGGAAAACCATCGCTCCCAAACCCAAACTATCGGACGCAGGCGAAAGTAGCTGCATTTTTTCGATTTGCATTTTTTCGCATATAAAAAAGAGGAAAAGCTTCCGTGTATATAAGTGCTGCTACTGTCTGGACGGGCACAAGTATGACTTGTCTGCCTTCCTTCGAGGAAATTCGATATGCAAGTCGAGGAAATACAACAGCAGCAGCATCAAGTTGCCTGTGAGTCTGGGTTTGGGATCGATTTTCGTTGGTATATTTTGCCATTAGTGGCACGGAAGGTGAGGGCAGGATGAAAAACGGGGATCACACATATGAAAACATGATTCTGATTGTACATATAGCGCACGGGACATACTGTACTTTTATGATGCGGAAAAGATGAAAAAAAAAACACAGGGCGCTGCGAAGCCCCCGCCGGAGGATGTACTGATAAAGAGAGCTGTTTTGTTCGACAAGTTCTCCCGGAAACCACGACGCGGTCGGTCCACAACATGAACATTTGCGGCTTTGCCGAAAAATGATCCCGCTGTTCCTATGCCTTGCAGATCTCGAAGATCTAGAAAGGTATCGGTTCAATCTGCGCAGCTGTCGTGCGAAGATCGTCTCCTATGGTCAGCCTAAAAGAGATCATAGCTGAGTACTAGATAGAAGCTGACTGTAGTGGTTTCCTGCTCCTCCTCCTCCTATAGCAGAACACGCAGCAGATCTTTAAATTGAACCGCCGTCGGTAGTATGTAACCGTTCTTCAAATTGAATTCACCAGAACAATTAGTCCGCAGCATCTTGCAATTTCTTGCGTCCAAAAAGAAAACATCATCGGATTGCATCTAATTCAGCCAGCACTGTAATTGTAAATACGTCTTGCACTACTTCTTGCCTCCGGAACAAATAAACTGCATTCAAAAATCAAAGTAAAATCACGGGCGAAATCGACCTGAAACTACACGACCAAAGAAACCGATCATAATTGCTTCTTCCATCCCTACTTCGTCGACTATTTTCATTTTCAACATCAAGTTTTATAAACCCTAGCTACTTATACTATCTCCAAAATGTCCTCCGCTTCCTTCAAATCCTTCCTGTCCGCCTTCGCGGCACTAGCACTTCCACTCGCAACAGCAGGGATGCGGATGAACAAGACCAACCACGTGCGAGCAAATTCCCAAAAGCAGCCCATCATCAACCGCGGAGGTGTCTCTTTCTTTGACATCACGGAAGCCACTAAACAACGCCAGCGCGCTCGCGACCAGCTCAAGAACAAGGATCCGGCCACTCCACTCCGAGAAGTAATCACGGACTTGGAAGCTGACCGCCGCCAATTCTTATTGCAGTACTTCGGTACTAGAACAACAGGGGAACAAGAATCGGCGCAGCAAAGGCAAAAGTGGGCGGTGGTGGAGAAAATCGAGTTTTTCCACGCAGACGATGGTGAACTGCGGGATCCGTTAGCCACGTGGAAAAAAGCAAAAGCGCGAGATGAAGTATTTTTAAACGCAAATTGGACGGTTGGAGATTTGGTCACCCACCTCGCGACGGAGCAGAAACTTCCAAGATGGGCTCGTGATCTTGCTGCATATCCTGTGCAAAAGTATCGTACCCGTAGTAATTGCAAACATGCATTACAAATCTCCATCCCAAGGTAAAACAGCATGACAAATTCGATTTGTCATGCTGAGGTAATTTGTAATGCCATTACTACTAGTACGTTACTTTTGCAGTTCATGCTGCAGCACCGCCGGCAATTGCGGAAGATGAGATACGCAGGTCTTTGTACGTCACGTACACTTCTGTGGGTGACGAAGATGAAGCTGTATGCATTGCAAAAGTGTCTGGGTCTGGAAGGTTGCAACTTGTAATGCTAATTCTGAATCGTGCAAAAATCTGTGTTGCATGAATGCCAAAAGCTGTCCACTTTTGATCAAGTTGAGAGGAAGTCTCTCATGCAGGATAGGCATGATTCGGATCTCGCAGAATCTGTCGTGCTAGGTCCTGCATTCCAGACGACATGGATCATGGAAAATCTGCATGACAAGCCTGGGAATCTTCCAGACCCAGACATTTTTGCATTTGATAAGCTGCCCCTTATGATCCATTGGGACCAGTACCGTTGCCTACATCCGGCGTCGAGATGGAAATCAACAGCATATCAATCGGAGGTGCTGTGGCAGGAACGGCAGGAGCTTCCGCGTGTTCATCTTCTGCAGCTGCAGGAGTGGCTCAAGATGAATCGGCCGACGACGACGGTAGCTCTTTCGAGTTTTGCGGGAAGCAATTCGTCGACCTCAAGCTTTCTTTCACAGTCGATGACAGCTCCACGCAGGAGTCCCACTCTGTAATTCCATCGCAGACGTCGGCAGTCGCGGATCCGACGAGGGCCCCTCATCTCCTGATTCAGTTCGTGAACGCTCTGGATAACAACACCGTGTACCTCAAGGTGTCCCACCGAACTCTGCTCGAACACGCTCTGAACCTGCTGCTCTATCCTGTGCAAAAGTATGATCGTACTCGTTTACTTATTGCAATCTTGCATGACAAACTTGGCTTTTTACCTGAATCAGCATTCCAAATTCCATTTTTCTTTTTGATAAGATTTGTAATGCAATTTGTACCATAATACGATACTTTTGCAATGCATATGCTCACCAGAAACTTGGTTTTTGGCGCTGGAGCAACTGGTCTTGACGCTCCTGCCCGTTCTATAGTGCGCACGTGGTCGAGCATGCTTCTGATTGGTCCGCCAGTATCGAGCACGTCCTCCGGGGGCCTTTCAAAAGCTGCTGTCAACCGTCTACTGTATTCGAGCGTTTACCCGACCTACACCTGTCTGGATCTGGTGAACGAGTTGCGCCGCCTAGAGGGTCTTCCGCCGATCGATGCGACAGCCTTGTTGTCGTCTACAGGTTTGCAGATCGATCCTGAAACTAGGTTCCCGATGATGACAATTGGGTTGACGCTGAGTTCCGTGACAGACAAGGGTATCCTGTGCAAAAGTATCGTACTCGTGTTGCAATCATGCATGACAAATCTTTTTCTTAAGGTAAATCCGCATTACAAATTTTATTTGTCATGCTGAGGAAATTTGTAATGCATTTATACGAGTGCGATACTTTTGCAGTGCATAAAGGGGCAAGCGAATCAACTCCAGCTGATGAGCGAGACGAACGCCCTGCGCGAAACTAGTGGTACTATATGACAGTGCACAATTCCCCCTCCCCCTCATTTGTCATGCAAAAACCCAAATCCAGTTGCTACCTTGTGGCACGACCGAGTGCATGACAAATTCAGGAATAATCCAAACAGTGCTACGCTCGGCGCATGAACCTGTCATGCACAGGACCCACCTGTGCTGGTGTTTGTAATGCTGTTGATGTCATCCAAATGAGGGGGACGGAGGGCTGTGCACTCTCATATTCTACTGGCTCGTCCTTAGTGGCCCCCGCAACTACAGTAGGAGCTTTCCCGCACCTCACTATCATTTTCGCCAGCGCGCCCGGCGAGAAGGACGAGTTGTACCACGTCATTGTTGACAATCCTACCCAACCGTTGCAAGTCGCGCTGCAGCACGTGGAACGCAGTCTGAATCCCCAAGACCGGCAGCACGCCTACCGCAGTTGGACCAGCGTGATTCTCGGCCACGCAAGGCTACCGCGGGACGAAGTTTCGATTGCCAGTGGCAATTTGCGGGTTGGGGTCCTTCACCTGATCAACGAGCTGCGCCGTATGGAAGGCCTCCCGGAATTAAGTGCCGACATTGTCCGGGCAATGGGTGAGAACAACACGATTCGAATCGGTGTGACCGTTGGGGCGCCGACAACCCCACGCGCGAAAGCCCTGGTCCCAGCGAGGTTCCGGGGAAACAGCCCAGGACGAGCTGCAGTGGCTGGTGCGGGAACAGCAGGTTCGGGTAGTTCGTCGGCTGCTTCTCCGGGCGCGCTCACTCCCTTAAGCCCCGAAATTCACAACGATGGGGATGCACAAAAAACACAAAGGCTGGCAAACGCCCGTCGTGAGGCGTCAGCAGCTGCAGCAGCAGCTGTGGGTGGACTTGAAGTTAGCCATGTTGCAGCAGCTGCAGGGGCGGATCAACATCATGATGCTGGCATTGGCAATGAGGATGATTCATCTCCGATAGGTAATATTACCGTTCCTCCACCACCAGTGCAGCCATATTACACGGGGCCAGAGAGCTTGTTTCGTCCGATGGTTCTTCCGGGAGGAGCGTTCTGGCCGCTGGCACCTGGACTAGAACTACAGCCGGGGGCCGCGGGACTAGTACAAGGGCTGCACCCAGGCAGCAGTACTGATCAAGCCCCAGCGGGAGGAGCAGCTGTCGTTCATCCCCAGGCCGTCGTCCCGGCGCATGTCCTATGGATTGCGAAAATGTCTGGGTCTGGAAGATTGCAACTTGTGATGCTGCATTTGGATACTACAAAAATCTGTATTGCATGAACAGGAAAAGAGGTCCAGTTTTTGCCACGGCGAGAGGGCATTTCTCATGCGGTGTAGGCATCAGGAAGCCCACCTCACAAAATCTGTGATGCTAGGTAATACATCACAGACGTCAAGATTCATGCAAACTGTGCATGACAAACCTTGCATCCTTCCAGACCCAGACATTTTTGCAGTTCATATGTTCCGGCCGCTCCGGTCCCTTTCCTCTACTCACTTGCCAGCCTGCAGGACATTGGTCCACAGGAAGGCTCGTTCGTCCCGCACGAACAGCGCCCGGCCGCCGACCTGAGTCGCAGGAGCTTCCTGGGCCGCTACAACGACATGGTTACTAACAGGGGGCCCTCGCCGTCTCCCCCTGCAGCTGGTGGTTCTTGTTGCGCTGCTGCTGCCGCTGCCGCAGCTTCCGACGAAGATGGCGAAGAAGCAGAATATGAAGATGTACATGAACAAGACCACCGCGAAGACCCACCAGTGCCGAGTGAGCTGGATGACTCGTCGGACGAAGAGATTTCAGACGTTGACGAAGCCGGAAATAGAACAGTGCTGACCCGGGGGCATTTCAAAAGGTCTGAGGACAGCGAGGATGAGAACAAGTGAAGATGGTCGACAAGAACTACACGATGGACGTGCTTATACCAAAAATTAGACTCGCTTCTAATTTTTATGCAAAAACCAGAAATCTAGGTACCAACACCTTCATCGAGGGAAAGAACTATTGCATTTGCATAGCGCTATTGCGTCAGCGTCACTTGCTTCTTTTTTTCGGGACTAGCACTTCTACGGATTATTTCTTTGTACTCCTACTTTACTAGCAGCAGCACATGGCGCGTAAACATCAATCGAGTTGTAAGACCCACCATAGGGTATGGGTAAGGGTGCTCTTTTTTCAAATGTTTACGAGTTGTAAGATCATCCACGTCGTGCTGCGTTGTTTAGTAGTAACCTGCTTTTATTTTTAAATCAGTATTTAGAGTTTGAATCAAAAACAAAAGTTTTGCATCTTAGTTATGCCGCGCTTCTCCATCGAAGTTATCTTGGTGACTTCCTGCTTCGTTGTCTCTGCAATTCTGATGCACGAAATTATCACTAAAGAGATGCTGCATTGCCATTGCGGATGCTTGAATACAACTTCCAGTGGCAGCCAAGCATGATAAGTGTTTATTGCAACGAAGATTTTGGATTTTTTTGAGATGCGGATGCCTAGCACGCAATACAAATTTTCGCGATTTCGCATAACAAAAGAAGTTGCTGTTATATTGCTGCTCGAGCAACACAGATTTTTCAAGAAAATGCGACACACGCATTACAGCTTTCAAATTCAATGTCCCAGATGCCGTCTGGCGTGCGTGCTCGGCTTCATCTCCTCATCAGCCGCATTGTGTTCCGGTAAAAACCTGAGAACGTATACGATATGTCTTTCTTCAAAAGTGAGTCTGTCTGTGAAAATTGATGCCCAAAAAGACACTACTTTACTCGCTACTTCTCTTGAAGCCTTGAGGTTTGTCCTCAATAGGCTGGAGTACCCACGTACCCGTGGTCGAACCGCGCTTTTCACAGTCGCATCAGAATACTGTTCAACCAAAACGACCCAATATGCGACGTCTTCTCGAGCTCGTTTGCGTCCTGCTTCTTCCGCTCCTTCCGAGCGGTTTGTTGTTGTTGCGAAGCCACGGCGGAGACCCAGAGTCAACAAACTCCGCCCACGGGGACCCCGGCACGACCGAGGACAGTACCTTCCCGGACGCAGACCCTGCTATGGTGGACCACGACACGATCGCCATGGAGCGGACGCTATCCTATGTAAAAACGTGGCCACCCTAGAGTTGTCATGCAGATCTGCATGCCAAGAATGTTTGTCATGTGGAGCCCCATGTGAAGAATTCTCCAGTCGTGTTTTGGAGCTTGTAATGCTCCAATCAGCACAATAGGCTAGATCTGTGATGCTGCTGAACGAGAGAGCCAGCATTACACTACGAGACCAGACTTGTCATGCGAAACAACCAAAGTTGGTTGATTAGTCTAGCAGATCCCCCATCTTGACTACTTATAGAGTGGGGACGTTTTTGCTCAGGATAGACGCCGCTTAACCAGGACTCCTCGAGTAGTTTTCACGTTATCCTGTGCAAAAGTGTCGTACTCGTAGTTCTGGTTGTCGTAAATGCAATCATGCATTACAAATCTTTTTCTTGAGGAAATTCCGCACTACAAATTTTATTTCTCGTGCTGAGAAAATTTGTAATGCATTGCATACAAGTGCGATGCTTTTGCAATGCATACGCGTCGCCCTGGACCATCAAAACACGACATCAAGAGGAGACGAGCCGGGGAACAACGCATCAGCAACGCGAATGAATGTTGCACGAAATGATCATCAACGGCGCACTCAGGTAGTACCTGGGTGTGTCGGGCTTGCGTGCGGGGGCGCGGTGCTGCTTGCGTTCTACTACTCCGTATCAAGTGCTGCAAAAATGTCTGGATCGGGAAGGGTGGAACTTGTAATGCTGTCTGCGGAGTCTAAAAATATCTGTGTTGCATCAGCAGCAAGAGGAGTCCAGTTCTTGGCAGTTCTTGGCACGCGGAGAGGGCGTTTCTCATGCGTGATAAGCATCAAGACGCCCTCAAAAAATCTGTGATGCTAGGACCTGCATCACAAACCTCACGGGTCATGCAAAATGTGCATGACAAACCCCGACTCTTCCAGACCCAGACATATTTGCAATGCATACCCCGGCTGGGTTTTGTATTGCGGAGGCTCGACGAACGTCACGGAGGGGACGATTAGGAAATGTACATTTGCATTAGCACCATACAGAAGATGAGCTGCAGTGTCGAATTTACTATTTGGCAAGTTGACTCGATGAAAGACGTGTTTGTCATGCTAAAGACGCAAAGGTTTATTCCCATGACGTTGGCTCTAGTATGCAAGGCGGTGCAGCGGTTTTCATGTGTGCGAACACCGTTTTCCAGTGGACACGCTGCATTTTTTCGACTTCCAGATACCCGGGCGTCGACCTTGCAGGAGATCGTGCCGCTAGCACCACACTCGCGGGCCCCCGCTGGTGGTCCACCCCGATTGATGGCGCCGGGGACCACACTTCAAGCAGAACCGCTGGAACAACCGACGACGAGGACACTAAAGGGCACAGTAGTGCCCTCTCCTACGCGGCCCCTTCTACGACAGTGCCCTACGCGTCGTCCTCTTCCTCCTCAGCGGCGCTACAACCACCAAAGCCTGTAGCTGTGCCTGAGCAAGCCACCACATCCCCGTGGTGGAAATTGACTTCGTCTACATTGTCCCCGGACGATCGTCGAAAGGAGGTCAGCTTCGAAAACCCGCTTGAGCGGCTGGCGAGGCTGAGTGACGGGCCGGTGGACAACGAACTTTTCGAGGCAATGTGGAGCAGCGTGTTCCCGAAAAATAACCTGCTGGATTTTTTCAACACGGCCGCCGAACGCGCATTGATGGTGGAGGACGCGAGCACCCGCGCTGAAGTGTCCAAGAAACCTGCGCCGGGCGGGGGAACAACTACCGGTACTACGCAAAGACGGCTGCTGGGCAGGTCATCTGATGTGCCGCATGCGAAGATCTCCAGGCCGAAGCGCTTTCTCTCGCACGTGCCCCGCAGTGAACGGGCTTCGGATCACCTACACGGCTGGGATAATCAAGAGGACGGAGGTCGCGATTCCGCAAAGGAGTTCTCGGTAGTACGACAGTCACCGTTCGAAGCGGCGAGTGCAGCGGGGGAAGATCCGTTGCAAGGAACGAACGCCGTTCCGCCACCGCCGTCCGGGCATCCGTACAGGCGGTTCTTTGAGTCCCTGCTATCAAATGCAAAAATGTCGGGGTCTGGAAACTTGTGATGCTGGGTGGCGTATCATGAGGAAGCCATAAGTGCTGGCTCAGCATGACAAGTTTCTGAGCTTCTAAGTGTTGCCTATTCTGCATGACAAACTGCGTTTTTGCATGACAGGAAATTGGGGCTCTTGGGTGACCTGCAGGACAGGTTTAAGAGTCATGCCAGAGAAGCATGACAAATCGCGCATTCTTCCAGACCCAGACATTTTTACAGTTGATACCTGCCGTGGCAGTTCGATTCCGCCAACCACCTAAACAGCATTCTCCCGTCCGACTGGATCCAGGAAATCGTCCCGCTTTGGAAAGTATGGATTGCAAATATGTTTGGGTCCGAACGAATGCAACGTTTGTCATGCACGTTTTGCATCACCGATGATGTCTGTGATGCATGCCCTAGCATCACAGAGTTTGTGTTGGCTTTTTGATGCGTATACCGCATGATCCCCCTCCGGGTAGAAAAAAATGGACCTTTTTTGCTGTTTATGCAATACAGATTTCATGCCGAATCCAAAGGCTGCATTGCAAGTTGCAACCTTCCAGCCCCAGACCTATTTGCAGTCGATAGAAAGGACAAGTCATGAAGAACTTCTGGCGAAAAGCGACCGCGGATCTCGAGGACTGGAAGCACTTCGCGCTCGGGCATGAGGAGCAAACTGCAGGGAATGAAGATGCGGTTGAAAAAATAAGCCGAGCCACATCGAAGCCGGGCAGGAGCTCCGCCGACGTCACCAGCGTAGTCGAAAAATCTATCTTCGAGCACACGGTCCTGCCCCTGCTGCAAAAAGAGCGCACCAACTCGTACAAGAAGTGGTATTTAAAGCACCTTTATCAAATGCAAATATGTGGTCTAGGTCTGGAAGGATGCAAGATTTGTCATGCCAGTTTCCATGACCCATGAGGTCTGGAATGCAGCACCTCGCATGACAGATACAGACTCTGTGGGATGATCGCTATCATGCCTATCCTGCATGAGAAATAGCATCTCAACTTGTATAAAAAGGACGGCTGTTGGTAATCATGCAACACAGATTTTTTGCATCATTCAGATTTGGCATGACAAGTTGCCATCTTCCAGAACCAGAGATATTTGCAATGCATAACCTCAATCTCAGCCCGAAGCCGGATTTCGCGTTGGCGTTTCTCCTCACAGGATTCGGGTACGGCAGCCCGGTATGCACTGCAAATATTCCTGGATGTCTGGGAGGATGCGAACTCGTCATGCTAAGTCTGGATCGTACAAAAATTTGTGTTGCATGACTACCAAAAACTGTGCAGTTTTGAACAAATTTAGAGGCAGTTTGTCATGCAGGATACTAGGCATGATAGGGACGTCGCAGAACCTGTCATGCTAGGTCCTGCATTCCAAACCTCATGGGGCATGGAAAATATGCATGAGAAGTTTACATTCTTCCAGACCCAGACGTTTTTGCACTTGATACCCGGGAGTGGGGTTCGTGCCGCGCAC